TGGGGTTTCCCTTTTATAGGGAAACCCTAGCTGAGCTGTCGACAGGCTGTCGACAGCCTGGGAAGTTTGCCAGCAGCGCTCGAGCTCGCCTGTCACGAGCTCGCCTGCTTGGAATCGCCTGCACGAGTTCACCTGACAGATCCTCTCGTGCTCGAGCTCGCCAAATCCAACTCGAACTCGCCTGCGCCGCATCCTCGATTTCGCCTACAAAGGGGGGTCGCCTCGCCTACGTTCGCTGGAGCTCCTCGCCTGCTCGACCTCGCCTAACCTCGTCGAGCTCACCTGCAGCTCACATCTGCTCCAAACTCGCCTGCAAGTCTCCCCCTCGAGCTCGCCTGCTTCAAGGTTTAGATCCACACTCAAACTAACATTACGAAAATCAAGCATGTTAGTTATACCCATACATTATGCATGTACATAAAGTTGGTACCCTATAATCCTCCCTTATTTTGCCCGTTTCCCCCCTAACTACTCCTATACTTAAAGCAAGTAAGCTGCTCAACAACAATTTGGTGGTGATTGAAACGGATGCCTGCCAGTTTCACCTACCCCTGAGGGTCCCCACCTCGCATATAGATAAGAAAATTAAAAGGTTTTTTTTTTCTTTTCTGATATTTAGCCCCTGGATCTATAAAACTTTGAAAGTAAGCCCGACGGCATTGCCATTAGGCCTCAAATCTTATGAATTATTTGGGGCGACTTACATGAACTGGGTATCAAATAGAAACTTCAAAGATTCGAGGGACAACTCCAAATATTAAAGATGTAAGAGACTAATAAAAAAAAAGGCCAACCAAATTAAAAATCCCAATCACACGAATCGCATTCTAACACCCCAAAAGAGAAGAGTGCTGGTGAGTGCGTTCGGTGACCAGAGCTCGGTCAGACTTCGTCAGCACGACGCGCTGTCCGCTCGCGGTAGGTGGGTGGGGTCTCCCTCCGTGGGACCCACGAAAGACCAATGACATCGCACGCTTCCCGCTGTGCTTACCCACCCCCATATCCGTTGCTTTGTGTGAGCGCAATAATGCCGTACAGCATCATTTTTATGTATTTCTTAATAGTTGGAACCATATGGTTAATCAATTCAAAGAAAAGGAAATAGAACATTGGAAACCATTAAAAGTTGATTTCTATCCGTTTCTATTCTTAAAAGTCACCCGTATCATCTAATAATATGGTGACAACTCATTTTATCTCATCCCCTTTCTTATTTTTAAGAATGAACCAAACCCAAGGAAAAAAAACTATTATAAAAAATAGATTTCTTTAAAAATGAGTTTATTTAAAAATGTGTTACATCATCCAATAGTACGGTGACAACTCATCTCATCTCATTAAAATTTGATTTTCATCAATTTCCTCAAAAAAAAAAAAAAAATAATGACAATAATATAATGACAATTCATCTCATCTCATCCCTTTTCTTAGTTTCAAGAATGAACCAAACACAAAAAAAAAGAACCTATTATAGAAAATTTATTTCTTATAATTGATCTCCTTATTTTTTTTAGCCAACCAAACAACCTCAAAACAAGTCATGAAATTTGTTTCTTAAAAAATCACCCACATCATCCAATACTATTGTGACAACTCATCTCATGTCATCTCATCTACTTTCTTACTTTTAAGAGGTGAACCAAACACAATAAAAGAACCAAACTATAGGAAATAAGTTTCATTTTCTTTGATTTCCTTGTTTTTTTTAGCCAACCAAACAGCTATCCAAACATAACCTCAAGTTTATAACGTAATCACGTTAATTGTTTGGGTTCAATTCTCTGAAAAAAAAAATCAGCGCAGCGGCCTATCCAATAGTTTCTGGGTCTCTGTTGTGGAATTTATTTTTCTTTATATCGGAAGACTTTTAAGCTTTCCAATGATCACCGCCAACAACGGAGACCAGGGAAGACATCAAGAGGTTGGGCACAAGAGCCTTCTCCAAAGCGATGCTCTTTATCAGGTAAAGCTCTCATATTTTGGAGGAGGGGGAAAAAAAAATCATGTATCTAATTTATAATCTGTATCATGAGTCGCTGAATTATGACTGTTTGCATCAATTTGCAGTACATTTTGGAGACGAGCGTGTACCCCCGTGAGCCCGAGTGCATGAAGGAGCTCAGGGAGGTCACATCAAAGCACCCATGGTATATATATGGTTAATTAATTGTGCACTGAAATGTAATTATTATTGGGTTAATTTCCATAATTAATTAGCACCATATAAATTAACAAACAGTTCATTCTTTACTCATCTAGTCATTAGACCATCGGGTAATTCTTTGCTTTCAAGTTCTGTACTAATTTGAAAAAGACTCGAATCGATTTTAGTTTCACAAAATATCCAGGTTGCGGATCTATACATCACAGTTATATATATATATATATATAAAGGAATAATTAAATTTTCTCCCCGTAGGAACATCATGACGACGTCGGCCGACGAGGGCCAGTTCTTGAACATGCTGTTGAAGCTCATCAACGCCAAGAACACCATGGAGATCGGCGTCTACACCGGGTACTCTCTGCTCGCGACGGCCCTCGCCATCCCTGACGACGGCAAGGTACGTACTAGATTGATTAGAGTCTGTAGAGACCAAAGTTTTAAAAAATACGTGTATGTGACCGAAGTTTTGTTGATGCGTGTGTAGATATTGGCGATGGATATCAACAGGGAGAACTACGAGCTTGGCCTCCCTGTGATTGAGAAGGCCGGGGTTGCGCACAAGATTGACTTCCGTGAGGGCCCGGCTCTGCCCGTCCTCGACCAAATGATGGAGGACGTAAGAAATTACCTGAATTTTTTTTTGTTGTTGTTGTCATTAGTTAATCATTTCTTAAAACAGATTTGAGTGTTTTTTGTTCTTAAAACTGAACCAATCCTGTACCGTTTAGAAAAGAGAATGTTTGATAAGGTCCAAATAATTAAAATGTCCCTTTCTTTTTAATTAATGATAACAAAAATTAAATGTCACGGCACTAACCAACCACACACAAAAAAAAAAATTCGATTGCTCAGCCAAAATATCACGGGTATTTGCAAAATTGCCCACCGATTCTCTTGCATTGATTTTTTCTACCCCTTCCACTTAACAAATTTAGTTTTTAAATGGAAAATTGCTGCAAACCTGTTGGAAATTATTGGGAACTTTGGCATTACCTTGTTTAAAAAGCAATATTATTCTTAGGTTGGGGTGGTGGAAAAACTCAAAATGCTAGTTTTGAAAGGGTGCTCGAGCTCAACAAGGCCCTCGCCGCTGACGAACGCATCGAGATCTGCCAGCTGCCCGTTGGCGACGGCATCACCCTCTGCCGCCGTGTCAAGTAATTCGGATTCGGATTCGGATTCCGATACAGAGAGAAGGATCTGTTTGTCCTGCTTACTTTGGTCTTTCTTTTTAAAAGCAAAATTAAGCAATGTGTTTGATTCGTACTTATGTAAGAAATGTGATTGGCGCAATGTCTCTACGTTGGATGATGATCAACTGATATTGTTGGAGGCTAAACTTAATTTTGTGAACATGTGTATGGGTTCCTCATTTATAACAGTGTTTGTCGTAAAATGAGATCCCAAAATTTGTATTAATTGAATTGTTTATTACAAATCGAAATCATTTTTACACAGAAGCAGAGAGAATTGATTCGATCTCTCTTTGTTTAACGTGGGTTCTTTGGGGCGATAGGATGCTTCCCTCGATGCTCGTGTCGAGTTTGCTTCCCTTTGACGATTCGAACGAGGTTGCGGACAAACTTCAGCGCGTGGTAAAAGTTTGGTTGGAAGAGTTTGAAGGTCAAACAAGTGCTTGATTGCTTGTAGGCCAAGTATGGCGAGATCTCAAAGTTCGGTCCTCTTCTCCTGAGGATTCGAACAAGACTGCCAATAAGCTTCGTCGCGTGGTAGAAGCTTTATCTGAGTTTGAATACCCGAGCTAGAATATTTGAGAGCCGAGTGCACAAGATGCTAGGTTCGTCTCTTTGTCTTCGTACCTTTCCTCTCTTTTCTGTCCCCCTTTTCTTGTAGCAATCAGTGGCTTTTTATAAAGGAGAATGCCCAATAACCACCCCCTCAAAACGTGGAAAGTGGGCACAACCACTTCCACAATTCATGCTTTAGTGGCTGACTTAGTCAAACAATTCAGGCGAACCTGACGTTCAGGCGAGCTTGATAATTCAGGTGAGCTTGACCATTCAGACGAACTTGGCAAGACTCAGGCGAGCTTGGCGAGATTCATGCGAGCTTCACCATTCAGGAGAGTTTGGTGAGCTTCATGTGAGCTTCACTCTTGTAGGCGAGGTTGGAGCATGCAGGCGAACCTCGTAGGCGAAGCTATCAGGCGACCTTAGCGAGTTTTAGGCGAGCTTCACTCCTGTGGGCGAGGTTGGGGCATGCAGGCGAAACTATCAGACGAGCTTCAATCAATTTAGGTGAGCTTCAAGCGTTCAGACGAACTTGGCTCATGCATGCGAGGTTCGTACGTTAAGCGTTTAGGCGAGCTTAACTTCGTTCAGGCGAAGCTCAATGTTTAGGCGAACTTGGCCTTGTTCATAGAGTCAAGTATTCAGGCGAACTTGGCTTTGCTTATTTGATTCAGACGAAGACGAAGTCACACAATCAGGCGGACTTGCTTTAAATGCTCAGGCAAACAAGTAGACATAGCTTGGTTCAGGCGAACCCTAGTCTTGCAAGCGAAGTTCAGACGTCGAGGAACATAACTTGCTGCGAAAAACAGGTCATTACTTTCAAAATGTAAGTCGGAATTAGACCAATTATATATAAAAATCAACTATCTCGACGAGACAGGGCCGACGAAACCCACCGAAGTTCAGTTTTGCACTATCCGTTTCGCCAAATTCCCTCCGGTTTGAGAGATATCAGCGTTCTTGTCCGTTTTTTACTGTTTTGGTAATGTTCTTGCAGGCAAACTTCTGAATTTCTCTGTTAGGGGTAAAGGTAATTTTATTTACCTACAAATTCCCCTACAAAGTTTTCAGACTCAAATTGGGTTACACGGGGTCTGAAAGATTTTGAATATTAAGACCTGCAAAATGATCACCATTCAGATGAGACGGGGGAGCCTTCCAGTGAACTTGGTCATTCTAGCGAAGTTGAACTCTTCAGACGTAGCTCATGATCGTCACCTAAGATTTTTAGCAAATCATCAGCTATCAACGAACTTGATTTGTCTTTACCAATTGTCGTTTGAGTTGGACTAACCATGTTTTTACCCTTAACATGGTAAGTTATCGAGGAATTTTCCTTAGGCTCAATGCTAAGATTTCTACTCTATTTTTAGTCGTTCAAGGCATTGGATTAAGTGTTTGAATATGAGTACAACGGTTAAGTTGTAATCGAGTTTGGTTGTGTCGTTCGTTATAACAACCCAACCTGATGTTTTGAAAGCGAGGCTCATCGCATGGTAGACCTACTGGGGTGTGATAATATCGTTGATAAATAGTGACTCATCGCTTGGTAGGTCACTATTTGAAAACAATGGGAAATGTAGGAGCTTATCGCTTAGTAGGCCGCTATCAGTGCATAATGTCATTTGCAGGGATGACGGTGCGAAGGCAATCAAGTCGTTCAGTGACATGGAAGTATAACAATTATGATTGGAGTAGCGCCACATCACATAGTAGGTCACTATCAATGGACAACGTCATTTGCAGGAATGACGGTGTGGGAATGATCAAGTCGTTCTGTGACATGAGAGTATAACTATGATCGGAATAACGGCTCATCACATGGTAGGCCAAAATCAATGAACAACATTATTTGCAGGAATGACGGTGTGAAAATGATCATGACGTTCAGTGATATGGGAGCATAACGACTATGATCGGAATAGAAACACATCACATGATAGGCCAATATCATGAACAACGTCATTTGTAGGAATGACGGTGTGGAAATGACCAAGTCATTTAGTGATAAGAGAGTATAACGACTATGACCAAAATAGCGGCATATCGCATGGTAGGTCACTATCTTCGATCGCTCTAAGGAGGTGAACATTCGGAAAAGATCAGAGAGCAAATCATCGCATGGTAGGTCACTATCCTGATTGAGTGATAAGTAGGGACTCATCGCATGGTATACTACTACTCAGAATATTTTTGATTGATATCAAAGAGTTGACTATTAGAGATAATCATCACCATGATAGTATTTTGTGAACCCGTCATCTTATTGAAAAGATTTGGCAGGAGAATTGGCTATCAGAGGTAATCATTAACTTGATAGTATTTTGTGGTCCTGATATCCTATTGAAGAAGAGTGGTGGGCGAATTTAGAAGAAATCAAGTCGTTCGGTAATATGAGAGTATAACGACTATGATTGAAATAGTGGTACGTCGCATGGTAGGTCACTATCTTCGACCATTCGGAAGGGGTCAAATAGTGAATCATCGCATGGTAGATCACTATCTTGATCGAATGACAAGAGTTTATCTCATGGTAGAACACTACTTGACAAAATATTTTCAGTAGGGAACCAAGATTTGACTATCAGAGGTCGTGGACCTGTCATCCTAATAACGAGGATTGGTGAGGGAATTTGGAGGAAACTAACTATCAGAGCTAATTATTAACGTGATAGTTTTACGGTAAGGGGTCAGATGCTCAAGTCTGACTTCGAACTCACCTTGGAGCTGATTGACGACGAGCTTCGGGTCGTCATGACTCCGTCAGAGAAAAGAATCGAGGTAGTACAAGGTTTTGCGGAGAAACCGAGACTATCCCCACTCCAGTGATAATCAGGATTGAAGGATAACGACCCTGCATCCAATAAAGCTTGGATCTTATCCTTCAGGATGTAGCATTTAGAGGTGGGATGATGAACTATTCTGTCGTACGCAAAGTAGTTGGGATTATCTGTTCTCGACATCTCCTCAGGTCGCATTGATTCTGGGAGCTTGATCTTTTTTCCTTGATCAAGGATTTGAGGAGTGTGACGACTTGCTCATCTTTGAAGTCGTACTTCTGCTGAAGCGACCATCTAAAGAACTATCTTTTTGCTTCGAAGAAGATTTAGGGGAGGAAATGGTTTCCACTACCAAAGTATCCTTCCCCTTTGATGATTTCTAAGGGGTGAAGTTGTTCTGGTTATCCCCTTTTTAGGATTCATATGGCTCTTCAGCATCTATACGCTTGATCATACTTTCAACTTGTTCTCCTTGACGGATTAAGTCTTTCCATAAGCGAGCTTCAACAGCGTCCATATTGGACAGTATGTCGATGGAGAGATTGTTTAAGCACATCTCAATGAGAGTGACCTCGGAAACCTGATCACGGTAATGCAGTGATTGGTTCCTGAATCTCTTGATAAAGTTTCTTACAAACCCCGTCTTCTTCTGCTTTTCTGCTAGCAGGGTGATCATGTATACTTCTGTGTCATCGTCGAAGAATCTAGCCATGAAGAGCATTTTCATATCCTTCTAGCAAGTGATGGTCTGATACAGGCTCCAATTTGCGGAACCATTCAAAAACGACCCCTTTGAGGGTACTAATGAAAAGTCGAGTCATAATGGGATCGTTTCTCACTATGTGTCCAGTTTGCGCCTGGAAGTAGTAAATATATTGGGTAGGAGGACTCTTGCCATCGAACTGTAGGAGGTTGAGTGGCTTAAATTTCGAAGGATAAGGGACGTAGTCCCATTCGGCAGGATATGGTCTGACGACCCCCAGCTCGTTCATATTTTTCTTGAGTTTTAAGACATCGAGTTGGCCTTTTGGAACTCGTCAATATCTTATCTTATAGATTATACCAAAATACGATGTCCCTTATGAAGATTCAGATGTCGAATCAGAGAGCGACTGTGGATTCCCTTCTCCTTTCGTTGTTTGTGGAGGAGTAGGTTCCCGCTCTTTGCTCTTGGTTGAGGACTTCGGGGGAGCCCGCGATGTTCTCTTCTTTTTCTTCTTCTTTTTGTTCAGAAGTTTCTCGAACATCTCCTTCATAGCGTTAATTATTGCCTGCTACATGACAATTACAGTTTGGTACTCTTCCAGCTTTCTGGCTATATCATCAGGAATTTCAACCATGTGTACCTTTGCATGCCCGCTTTGCATTGAGCTTGAGGCCTGAGACGTTGCTACCGCCGAGCAATTATCATCCTCGTCATCAAAAACGGAGGCTAACCGCCTGTAAACAAGCGGTATAACAACCCCCTCTTTGGTCCGAGTGTGCTGGTAGACATCTTCATGCTCGATGGGGAGGCTTTTCAGTCCTGGTAAAAATTTAGCATCCGAAGAGTCTTGAGTTCTTCGCCTTGGACTTCTTTGTCATGCTGACAGTCGCAACTAGGAGATCCAAGTCATCAGAAGCTCGTCTCCTCTGACGATTGCGTCTCGTCGAGGAGGTCTTGTTTCTGGTGGTTGCTAAGAGAGCCTCTTGAACACCGAGGATTTCAACGTAGTTTCAGCACACCGGCAGTCCGCGAGCACTGCTGTAATGAGCCTCTCCGCGAGCACTGTTGTAATGAGCCTCTCGCAGTAGCACTGAGGTTCCTCGTGAATAGTGTGTTTGCGCATCAAGCGCTCTCTAAGATCCCCTGTAGATTGATGACAACCCCGGTATCAAAAGGATCAGCTGAGTGCTTATGCGAAGATGGTTCAAGAGAACATTTGAAAGAACACTCGGAAAAATTTCTAAGTGTTGATTTCCAGCGAGTTCGCCTTGACAGGAGTGGTTGCCTAATCTGGCGGGGTTCTTCGGCCTCCTGCTCTTTCAGGCGAGGTTCGCCTGCTTGGCGAACTTTGCAAAGTGCACCTGTCGGGCAAAGTGATGCTTTACCTTTCTAGCGAAGCTCAGCTTGTAGGCGAGGTTCAGTTGGCAGGCGGACCTGGTGAGGTTCGGTTTGCAGGCGGGTTTGAGTTGTTAGGCGATCCTGGTGAGGTTCGCCAGTTGGTCTAAACTCGCCAGATTGACACAGTTCGCTTGACTGAGGAAGTTCGTCTGAATGGTGAACTTCCCCAGTACTGTGAAATTCGCCTAAACTGTAGAGTTCGTCGGAACTGGAAAATTTGTATTGTAGTGCGCCGGACTGGGAACTTCGCGTTTGTTCTCGGCTCTAGCATTATTTTTAGGCCTAAATAGTAATTTAGGCCGTCCTAGGAGATCAGGGCACGTGCTTCGTGACGAACGCGAGCTTGACGCCACCTTTGCTTGGCTCTTCTTGAAAGAGAAGCGCTCATATCGATGTTGAATGTATGATCCATGCCGATACGAATTGTGGTCTCCTCGAGAACAGGAGCTTGCGTGGATTGCTTAACAACCCATCGAGCAACCCTTGGCTTGCATCCTTAGCCTTTTGGTCGGCCTCAAACGACTTGGGAGAGATGAAACCCCCAGCGCTTGCTCGGGTAGAGCTCTCAGGCGCGATAACCTTAGCCGGTTGGGCCTGGGCCACACGCATTAGTTTGCGACATTTGAGGGACGTCTTGCCGTTAGAAGAAGCCGAAGACAAATACTCATCGTACTTCGCTTGATCGAACTCTATGACGAGGGACTCAACAGCCGTCCCTGCAGCAATCTCGCCAAATTACGCCACCACAATTTCATCTGAAAGAATGATATCTCCCACTGTGATCGTCATTCTTCTATTGGTCGTAAAATGATATCTCAAAATTTGTATTAATTGAATTGTTTATTACAAATCGAAATCGCTTTTACACAAAAGCAGAGCGAACTGATTCGATCTCTCTTTATTTAACGTGGGTTCTTTGGGGCGATAGGATGCTTCCCTCGATACTCGTGTCGAGTTTGCTTCCATTTGATGATTCGAACGAGGTTGCGGACAAATTCAGCGTGTGGTAGAAGTTTGGTTAGATGAGTTCGAAGACCGGACAAGTGTTTGATTGTTTGTAGGCCGATTATGCCGAGATCTCAAAGTTCAATCCTCTTCTCATGAGGATTCGAACAAGACTACCAATAAGCTTCGTCGCATGGTAGATGCTTTATCGGAGTTTGAATACCCGAGCTACGATATTTGAGAGCCGAGTACACAAGATGCTAGGTTCGTCTCATTGTCTCCGCACCTTTCCTCTCTTTTCTGTGCCCATCCCCCCTCTTGTAGCCATCAATGGCTATATATAGAGGAAAATGACCAGTAACCACCCCCTCAAAATGTGGAAAGTGGGCACAACCACTTCCACAATTCATGCTTTAGTGGATGACTTGGTCAAACAATTCAGACGAACCAGATGTTCAGGCGAGCTTGACCATTCAGGCGAGTTTGGCGAGCTTCACTCCTGTAGGCGAGGTTAGAGCATACAGACAAACCTTGTCGGCGAAGCTATCAGGCGAGTTTCAATCAATTCAGGCGAGCTTGGCGAGCATCAGACGAGCTTGACCATTCAGGCGAGCTTCACTCCTGTAGACGAGGTTGGAGCATGCAGGCGAACCTCGTAGGCGAAGCTATCAGGTGAGCTTCAGTCAATTCAGGCGAGCTTCAGTCAATCAGGCGAGCTTTGACTCATGCAGGCTAGGTTCGTAAGTTAGGCGTTCAGGTGAGCTTAACTTCGTTCAGGTGAAGCTCAATGTTTAGACTAACTTGGCCTTGTCCGTAGAGTCAAGTATTTAGACGAACTTGGCTTTGCTTATTTGATTCAAGCAAAGTCACACTATCAGGTGGACTTACCTTGAATGTTCAGGCAAACAAGTAGATATGGCTTCGTTCAGGCGAACCCTAGTCTTGCAGGCGAAGTTCAGGATTCGAGGAACATAGCTTGCTGCGAAGAACGGGTCATGACTTTCAAACCGTAAGTCAGAATTAGACGAATTATATATAAATATCGACTATCTCGATGAGACGGGGCCGACTAAAACCCACCAAAGTTCAATTTGCTGTCGTCCGTTTCGCCAAATTCCTTCCGGTTTGAGAGATATCAGCGTTTTTGTCCGTTTTTACTATTTTTGGTAATGTTCTTGCAGGCGAACTTCTAAATTTCTCTGTTAGGGATAAAGGCAATTTTATTTGCTTACAGAGTTACAATCCATTTTATACACAGTATAAACTATATAGTGACATTTTTAAAAAGTTATATGTAATTTCATTAAAAAAAAAAATTTACACTTATTATAATCATGTCAATAAAATTTTAAAGATTGGCTGAATTATCTTATAATGTATAAAAGTTTTGTTCTGATTAATCTAAATTATTATATCCTCGAGAAACTAATTTTTTTTGAAAATAAATAAAATAAATTTTATTTTATTTAGATCCACTAATGCTCAATAAAACTATTATATGAGTTTTAATCTCATTTTTTCCTTTTATTAAAATGAAGGACACAATAACAACTTTTTAGATGCATAAAATATATACATACTATCTAAAAAAATCTTATTACTTTGATCATGTGTATTATACACACGCATTTTTAATAATAATCTTGTAAATACATATTAAATGATCACAAAATAATTAACATGTATGATTCATGTAGAAATTCAACGTTACCTACATGTTCTAATGTCATTTGTGCATGCATTTACACGAGCCAATATACAAGCATGTCTTAATAGAAATGATTGATGTGAATGAAGCACGCAACTGATTGACCAAGTTTATCGATATAAATAGGAAGATAGGAATAAACATGTCAGCTCAAATGAAAAGGGAAAATTATGCAATTCTGATGAGAAAATTATACCTAGCAACTCCACGGCATTTAGGAAAACCTCTTGAAAAAGCACTGCTTTTTCTGCAAATTCTAATATATGTCAGAGTCTATAAAGCTATGAATTGAATACCCATATTGACAATAGAGACTAGAGAGGCATGCCTTCTAAGAGACACAAGATAATCCTCCTTTGAAATCATTTGCATCTCTTCAAGGTCTCTGGTGTAATCGCTGACCTACAGGAAAAGAAATATAACAATGTGTGTATCTCAATCAAGTTCTGTCTGGACACATTTATATAACAAGAAGTATTAATCAGGAGAATAATACCCTTAAGAAAATAAACTTTACTCAGAAAAATAACTTCCATGTATAACACAGTACATTGAGTTCAGTGACATATTTTGTGCTGTTCAAGCACACATTTGAAAGGGAAAACAAAATATAAATTCTCAGTCCATTCTGGACCATAAACAACAACAACAAAGCCTTATTCTAAATTTTTGGGAATGACTACATGAATCCTACAGTTTCCACTGTTCTGTTGAGGGCTACTTCCTCCGTTGAGTTAATCATTTATCATATCCTATTAACTTAGTGGAGGAGATAACCCTCAATAGAAATGAGTGGAAGAGTAGCAGTCACGTAGCTGCCCCAAAAAATTTGGCGTAAAAGCTTTCGTGTTGCTATTGTTGTTGGTGTTTATGAACATGATCGGACAAGAATTTGTTTTCTACTTTCCCTTCCAAATATTTTGTTCAAAGTATAGAATGTCCGCCATTCTTAGTCATAGGAAGAAGTATGCATCTGAAAAACTATATTTGAAAGTGGATAGTTGAATACGTATTTGGGAAAAATTGGAGAGAGTTTCCTCTAACCGTAAAAATTATGATGGCTCCCATATTACACTTATAACTCAATATTAAAAATGTCAATATCAATTTTCATACCAGGATGAAAATAAATCGATATGCTAACACTCTTATGGTCCACCAAGACCACCCAAATGCATCCACCTTGGAATACAGGCATACAGCATAGTCAATCAAGAAGAGAGGTTCTTTCTTGAAAAACCACTCATACAAGGAAGAAAATAAATTTATGTGCTAACACACTTTAGGTCAACTGAAACCACCCAAAGAATCAACCTTAGGATACGGAGCCAGAAACATAGTCAAGAAAGAAGAGAGATTCTTTGTTGAAGAACCACAGACTTAAGTATTTCTGAATTTACCCTTCCTTCTCATACATGTGGAGAAATTTTGTAAACCTCCGTCTAAAATAATCCTCCAAGAACAGGTGATTTTAGAATAATGTAATGGACTATGAAATGCAAAAGCCATAATGCATGGCTAGGATTCAATTTTGTTAGAAAATTATCCCCATAGCCTTATGTTAAACCTTTGTTCTTGAAGTTCTAGTAATTTAAAAGTTGTGAATTATCATAGAACACAAGTGATAGTATGAAAGCTACTTATCAAAATAATCTACAGTAATGCACTGATGCTAGTCTGACTTCCACGGTAAAAGAAAAGAACTCATAGAACACAAAACAATCTCGATTATCTGGTCCAACAGTAGATAAATGAATGTCCATAACTTCCGCTAGAAACATGAAATGATTTTTGGTTGTATCAGGAAGTAGGGCTAAAATATTCCAACTACACAGAGCTTGCAAATTAATTTCCTCTCAGATTGAAGCAGTTCAACATTTAAAGTTAAAACTGGTGTGATGTATAATTCAGAGTCGATACTTTTAAGATGTATTTAGGGACCAAGAATTTTAGATCATAAATCAATAACTACAAAGAAAGACGTATGTGCACATATATCTTACAGGAAAATTAATGAGAGTTCCTGCGCCCCAATATTTCAGAGCAGCAAGATCATATGCTCTAGCAGCAGCCTCCTCATCATCATATGCACCTAAATCATATTATGATGAGATATCAATATATACATAAGATCTAAAAGGAAAAAGGAAAGAAGCAGATAAAATATTGCATTGGTGGAAGCTAACAGCATACCTAAGTATACTGGATAGAACCACAAGCCGATGAGGTTAATGCAAGAGACAGAACAGAATGTCAGAGATCAAGAAGATCAAAATTAAGAACTACATATAGTAAAAGATTTGAATCTAGGTTGAAGTTCGGACTAATATGGCCAAAAAAGCATTGTTGCAAACTTACCCTGGTAAGAAAAAAGATCTAGTGCATAATCCTAAGATCATTCTTGTGTGCCACAGATTACGGATAAGGAAATGTACCTTGTTTTCCTTTCTTATTTTGGTTTTGGTTCCATGTACTTTTATCCCAAAGGTGAGCTTCATACCTTCCCGTCCATCTGTGCCTATAATCAAACATCACAACAAATTTAACAGGTGAACTGACATATTTGGAAAGAAAAAAACGGTTATCAGATTTAAGGATTATGAAAGAAAAAAATGTTTAATAATCTACTTTGATGTGTGGCAAGGGATCAGGGTGGAGGGAAGAAACAAAACAAAAGAAACCATCAGTGGTTATCAGGTATACTTAGTCAAATGAATCACAAGGTATCCTGATACCTCTAATCAAAATGGTTATTAAATCTAAGGATTACAGAAATATGTATAGTTTTTTCCTTTTCTTTTCTTTTTTTTTTGTGTGTGTAGGGTGGGAAGAAAAGGAAAAAAAAGAGAATTTAAGTTGGTTATGAGCTAGAATTAAGGAAATAATCAGGAGATAGTACAAACCATCAGAAAAAAAAACTTTGCAATTTAAACATAAGATATAGTATACTATTAGAACAGTATATGCAAAAAACAAGGTGAATCCAAAACAATAAAAACTGGTTTATACCCATGCGAAGCATGGACTTAGTATTACAATGTTGTTGTAACAATTATATTGAAATATGAATGGACAAATGTTTTTTTCACTCTAAAGTTATAATAGAAATAAATCAGGAGATAACCCGATACTTCTAACTAAAATGCTTATTAAAATCTAAGGATTACAAAAGTTTCCATTCTCGCGCGCGCGTGTTTTCTTTTTTTCACCACCTTTTTTTGGCGGTTTTCCAAGGGGGAGGGGGGTAGTATGGGGAGTATATGTTAGTTGGTATTAGCTAGAATTAGACAACTTAATAAGGCGATAACATAAATCTTCAGAAAAAAACTTGGAAGTCAAACATAATATATGGTACACTATTAGAATCAATGTTTTAAAAAGCTTTTTTGAAACTCGCTGCACAACTTTTTGAAGGGTGAACACTTCGAAATTCAAGATAGAAGCTATTTTTCCCTTGAAGATTACGCCTCATCGCTTAAAGCATAACTGAAGAAGCGCTTCATCTTTTGAGGCGTATGCTTTAGACAAGGTAGGATAATATAAAAGAATTTTGACTATCATTAAAAATGTCATATGTATCTTTAGTATGACTATGTGAGTGCAAATAAGATAAATAAGTTATGCATGTCGATTAATTTATTATGATTTGCATCTATACTACACACATTTAATTCTTAGTTACTAATCAGGATATTAATGTATCTATTTGTAAATTATTATACCACTATACATTATATCTTCATACTTTTTATTAACTTTAAAATTAAAATACTTGAACTCATATGAGGGATACACCTCATGCTTTGAAGTTTACTCTTCACTTCATTAAAAGGTCTAACGCTTCGCCTTACACTTCCGCTTTTTAAACATCAATTAGAATAGAGCAAACGACAAGGTGAGTCAAAAAAATAATAACAGGAAAGTGTGAGAGTATCAATACAAAGACATGAGTTTTGTGCATAACATTGTGGTAAATTTGGTAAGCTTACAACATAGGTAGTTGCTAATCAACACTGAGTTCACATCTGTAACTACCAAGTCTACAAAAGTACATAGAAAAGAAGAATAATAAGAAGAGATCTCCCCACCAAATCATAAAAACCTTGTACTTTTAACTAATAGGATCTGCAATATTGTTTAGTTATATTGATGTATTTTCCTTAAGTGTAATGCAATCTAATTTCTTTATGTCTAATGTAATTTACACCAATTTCCAAGTGGCAAAATTATTTCTAGATTGCTTTGTTGGCTTTTTATTTTTTATTTTTTTCACTTCTTCTATTTGTCATGAACTTGAGCAATCAATTAGTGTTGCTAGTGAGGGTCACATCAAGAGAATTAACTTCCTACCTCTCTTCATAGTTCATTTAGGAATGCCTACTGTCTTTTCCAGCTTGCTTTTGGCTTAAGAACCAAGTCCATCAATACTTCCATCACTATCTCTTGGTCATACTATAGGATTAACCCGACGCTTCATAGCCTGAAATGGTCATGTGTACAGCCGAATTGCATACCCTTAGGTTTTACTCGAAGAATACTTTTAAACGGCTACACTTTCATTTTGATCCAAATTATATAGAGGGAGACAGAATGAAAATAATGCAATTTCTGCACTAATTCCAGACAGCCGCCTCAAAATTTTCTATGCATAAACCAAATTGGCATCCCCTGTGGGATAATACTCACGTTGGACTGGATGTACAGTGGAAAATACATGTATGAATTATAGACATCAATGAGAAAGAGAGTATGACTACATATCAGTCTGAAATCAAGTTTGCTAGCAAGGAAGAAGGTGATAGTGTACTTGAGCATGGGCCAAGCATCTTTGAAGATAAATTGATCATTCTAAAGAGTCTAGTTCAATAATTGAACAGACAATTCTTTATGGCTCCAGTGAGGAGAGGACAATCATATTGTCGGTCTCCAGTCTGGACCTCCAATTCAGACTAAAGAAACTGGGATATACCATTACCCAACATAGATTTTGCCCTGATATAGTGGATACAAGGCTTTAGAAGCTCTCTAAGATGCATATGAGGTAGCAATGGAGGAGCCACTGCCAGTGTATTGCAAGGACACACTCAAGCATGCCGGTCACAATTTAGACAAGTGAGTAGTGGCTCAACCCGGGAGAACAACATCGAGGTATATATCATGGCTTGCTCTTTAAGAATACAGTTTATCCTCCAATGCCTCCCAAGATGCCGTGAACTCAGACAGATAAGCTACACAAATGAGTATTTGGCTAACGAGAGGTTGCTGCTAGAATCAATGAATTTAATATGACCAAAAAATCATTTACTTAATGGACCTAGGCATGAATTTGTTGTAATTAATTAAAAGATTGAAGTTTCTTCTTTAATGCAAATATTGTCTTGTGAGGGGTGTATTTGCATATTACCTATTTCTTTCCTTATCTTCTAAATGTTCCGTTTCCCCAATTAAAACCCGATGTCTCATCCTCTCTTTCCTTCTATTCCTCCGAGCGGTTTTAAAGAAAAATCCCGCAATTCCTCCCTATATTTCGGCAACGTCGGCGTCATCTCCGGCCTCATCAACAAGCATGAATTCCTCCTCCTTGATGGCAGCAATTGTTCCAACGGGAAAATCAAGATAGCTATAAAAAGGGATCACCATGAAAGATAAAAATAAGGAAGAAACGTGAGCAGCTTCTGTTCTCTCTCTCTGACTTATATTTTCTACAATTGATTTCTAATTTTATTTTGAGGCAAACATCCATTGAGCAAGAGATCAAAGTTCGCAATGAACTTTGGTGCCGGCTTATCTCGGGGGTTCTTACCGCTAGGCGTAGTCGCATTGAATCGTCTCTGCGAAGGCGGCGACTATTGTTCTAGGGCAGTGATCACACGATTACCCCTCTCAAGCCTGCGTTTCTAACCTTTCTGAAATTACTCTTTTGATTATTTGCAATGACTTTTCTAACAATCTAGAACAATAGTCATAGTTGCTAATTAAATCTGAATTTTGTATTAATTATAGTTGCTGACATTTAAGTCCGAATAGTTTTTTTCATTCGATCAATCGATCGGAATCGAAGCAGAGAGGCCATGGTTTGCGGAACGCTTCAGGTCCTCGTCGGAGCCAGACTTTTTCGGAGGTATGGATCCTTATGCTATCCTTACTTACCGTACACAAGAACAAAGGAGCAGTACTGAAACAGATAAACTCTTCTCTTTTAGATTCACCATTGGTTTGACAGTGTGTTTCTGTTTAAATGCCCAAATTGTAACTAGTAATTTATCATTGGGTAGAAGTTTGTAGTAATACTTTGTCAGTGCAATTCTATCATATAATTGTGCTAGTGCAGTTGTTTTATTTTGCTTTAGAAGCAGAGTGATAGTTTCTCATTATATATATAGGTCGTGCTTTGTCCTTGATTGACAACCACATGGTGTAACGTAGGATTATGTTTTAAAAAAATAGAAAGATGATTATTTAAGAGATGGAAAATTCTTAGGCACTAAAAGGTATAAATTGAAATACGAGTTGTAATTTTCCGCAAGAGTTTCATCCACTTCAATCAGTTAACAACAATGGTTTTGTTCATATAAACCTTTTCTTACATTTTTAGAAGTCCTAACTGGTCAAATTTTCGTAAAAGATTCCTTTCTTAGTTCCTCATGATCCATGAGTTTTGGTCTACTAAATGAGGAACTTCAGTATAGCCATAACAATATTGATTCTGAGAAATTTTACTTTTTCTACTAAATGAGGAACTTCAGTATAGCCATAACAATATTGATTCTGAGAAATTTTACTTTTGCTTTATAGTTCATGTTATTCACTTTCACAACACAGGAGTGCTAACTATGTAAGGTTAATGTATTGCAATTTTAAATGATTAGTTTTGCCTTATTATACATGTCCATGCGCAACAACAATAAAGGAATTTAACTTCCTGGTAGTTTTAACCAAGTGATGGTTCTTCTGTTCATACTGGTATGTTAAATTGTAGGACACCATCCACTTTTGCCCATTCTGTCAGGTATAGTTAGGATAATTGTGTTTTTAGTTGAATTTTCGGTGGGCCAAGTTGGAAATTTCTCTCTTGATCTTAAATCATGGATGTTCTCAACCAGGTATATTTGGTTATGTTGGTAGCATGTTTGTATTCCTGCATCCTTTTATGATCTAACTTTCAAGTTTGATGGCCCCTTAAAATACTTAGAGATGCAGAAGATTCCTGCTTAGCGAAGTATAAGGAATTATAAAAGGTATACAAGCCATAGATGACAGTGTGCGTTTGTTGATCTTTTTTTTCTTTAGTTTTAAATATTCTGGTTAGAAGCCATTAGATAATTAACACATCTTTTTATTAGCATAATCCGGGTAGTAGCAGATAAAGTTTGGTAATTACCTCTTTCTATTACGATGGTTGTTTGGAGGTTTCAAATTTGTGATGAATCTGGTGGTCATAATTGGTAAGGAAAACTTTTGTTATATAGGGAGCACCAATTATGTTCTTCCGTTCTTGACTGTCACTGCAATTGCATT